GAATTCAAAATAGATCACTATGTTGGCTTGCTTCAAATTAAACCGCATTAAAAAATATGAAAAAAAAAAAGTATACATTTTTTCACATTTTGTGTACACAAGTTTACATTTCCGGGTTTCTCAGCAGTGGAAGTTGTGACAATTGGGTAAACTTAAATGTGCAGTGAATAGAAGATTTTTTTTTTTTACTTTTTGCTCAGATAATAACAGAAAAACCCAACAGTGTTATCATAAGACTTTCAGAAAAAGAAAAAAAAGTGTGAGTGATAATGGGGGCCGGAAGAGAGAGCAATGTCAAATTTACTGCAAAGATGATATAATTCAAATGTAGCTTTCTAAATGTACATATGTTTATTTGAAACATTTATTTATTTAAGTCCTGCTTCCAGTAATGATGTGTTGACAGAGTGGCTAAACCTCCAACAAGTAAACAATTAAAGAGAAAATAGGATTGGACCTGTGCTCTCCTCTGCCACAGACTCCCGGCTCTGCTTGGCTCTCCTCCTGTCTGAAACCTCCTGTCTCTTCCTCTTCTCGCTGGCCCGGGAGCCTCTCGAGCACTTGCGGATCTTGCATTTCTTCCTCTGGACCGTCTCAGGACAGGGCAGACCTCCAAACTGAGGCTCCAGCTTGACCATGCGAGAGCGGATCATGTGCCCCTTCCCACAGGACTTGTTGCACTCGGACCAGGCTGACCACTCTGACAGCATGCAGTCTGTAGCTGGAGGAGAAATGAAAGAAACAGGCTTGTCAAGTTGTGACACGCAATATGTAATACTGTTTTCAGTTCAAAGGCCTCAACTCATTTAAATTGAGAAAAATCTCAATAGTCGTTTTTCATAACACACAATAAAGGAAATATTTCACAATATATAAATATTTCTATAAAAGATGAAGGACTAACCTTCTGATATTAGGCTTGGAAATAAATGTTACAACCACGATTTTTAATAGTATTAGGGCTGTCACAATTATGACATCTTCCAGGAGATAAACTGTCTAAGAAATGATTGTGATTGTGGCCATTAATTGTCTGTTTTAGGGCTTTAGCATTTAATTGTCCCCATTTTGGGCTTCATCATACTTTTATGTGTACTTTTTTTAAAACTAAAATTCTGCTACAAATTATTGTGAAAAACTGAATCTTTTTTAAATTGTCACTTTGTACTCTTAAATATTATTTAACCGTAATCTGTATATCCCAGAAACAATCAGAACAAACAGGCAAATGACATACATATAAAGGTTTGCATAAAGGTTTTCCTCACCGCGACCCCATAAAATGTCTCACAGGGTCAAAATTGACTGGTATTGCTGTACTTGTGACTACATTTTTTAGTAGTACATGACTCTCTATCTCTCTCTCAAACACACACAGACGTTTTATCACTATTTTTCAATGTTTTCCTATGAGTTGTTTGCTTCTGAACACTACATTTACTATATTTCTCAGTAACAAGCTTCACATATTTAAACTACAGCTATTAATAAAAAACATACTTGCAGTCTCTATCTCTCTCTGTCTATATGTCTGTCTGTCTGTCTCTCTTTTATGATTTTTTCTCTCTTTTATGAATTTATGAGCAATTCCATGCAAATGTCAATCTTGCCATGAAGTTTTCACCAAAATAGTGAAACCCTTTTAAGTTTTTTTTTTTTGTAGGCTTTTACAGTACTGTAAAAATACTCAAAAATGTCTCTGTCAATTTTTTCAAAGAATTATATTTGATTTACCAAAGTCACACAAGTGGCAATTTCACATCTGTCACATCCGTAAAAGAGAGGTGTCACATCCATAACCAAGCTTTTTCCTCATAAATGCAAAAATGTAAAACAAAATAGAATCAATCATGTTTGCTCTATAGTGACCCAACTCTTATCCTTATCTTTACAGACTTACTACAAGGGAATTTCAACTTTCTCTGGAGTCTCCATCAACACACATTTAACCCTCCAGCAAAGCCATAACGAATTGAAAATTAAAGTAAAAATGAACAAGCAATTAAAACTGTCTGGACAGTATTTAGGTTTATGTCTCCCCGTTGTGCCCTCGAAAGGGATTGCAACAATCGCGGGCCATATGCATTAAAGTGCTTTTCAGCCACCAAAAAACTTCCAGTGAAAGGGTGATGTGATTTTTATTTTCATAATGTTCTATTCGTTTAGATTATGTCATTTAATCAAAATGTAGCCAATTAAATAGACCTAAGCATTCATTTCATTGTTCAAGCGTAAAACCAGCAAGCAACTATGCGTTACTCAGCTTAGATTTGGTCCCTCTCTGAATTGAGTTAAAGTTACTGAAGTTGATGAGACAATGAAAGGATTAGTTGGGTGATGATTGAGCACTGATGATGAATACCTGCTGTTAATAAGCAGAAACAAATAAGAGAAACACACAACTATAACTGACTTTGGACACTAGATGAAATCAGCTGAAATATAATACATTGAATATCGCAAAATCTCTGCAGAGGATCATTAAACTACTCCACAAACAGCAGCTTTATTTCTTACCAACCTGCTTGCCCTTATTTAAAGAGGAACCAACTACTCTCTTCATTCATTCATTCATTCATTTTCTTTCAGCTTAGTCCCTTTATTTATCCGGGGTCGCCACAGTGGAATGAACCGCCAACTTATCCAGCAAGTTTTTATGCAGCGGATGCCCTTCCAGCCGCAACCCATCTCTGGGAAACATTCATACACACATTCATACACTACGGACAATTTAGCCTACCCAATTTACCTGTACCACATGTCTTTGGACTGTGGGGGAAACCGGAGCACCCGGATGAAACCCAGGCGAAGGCAGGGGGAAAATGCAAACTCCACACAGAAACGCCAAATGAGCCGAGGTTCGAACCAGCAACCCAGCGACCTTCTAGCTGTGAGGCGACAGCACTATCTACTGCGCCACTGCCTCGCCTCCAACTAGTCTCTGAATTGAGTAAACTTAACTTCCTTAATCCTTTTTTTTTAAAGATTTTGCTGAGTGAGTGCTGAAAATCCATTGATAACTACTGTGGAAAAATACAGTTCCATATATTTGAAGACATGGAGCAGAGCAATAGAATTTAATGCAGTGATTCTTGTCTGGTGAGAGATTTCCTTTAAATGTACTGTAAACACAGCCAGTTTATAATGGCATAAGTTCACTGGAGTCCCTGTGCATAAGGTTTATTGTAATTACATTAAATAACTGCAGTTTGTTGTCTATTTATTAATAACGAAAGTCCAATAGATGTATTATAGAACTCTGCGACTGTATATTAGTAGTACCACTTGTTCTTTTTTACCATCTGATGAAGTGTTTGGATTCAGAAACTGTGATGTGTGACTTAAAGGGATAGTACACCCAAAAATGAAAATGTAGTCATCATTTTTTTGTTCAAAACAAGTCCAACATAATTTTTTTCTGCTAAACACAAAAAAGATTATTTAAACAGTTAAACTCTGCGGACCGGGTCCGTGACGTCATCGACTTTAGCTTTAAGATTTAAAGGGCTAGCATTGCACCAGACCCCATTAAGTGGTTTCGTTTGAAAGTGTAGAATCTATATTTTCTGCTTATATGCATCACTTTGGTTTTTATTGTACTTTACAAAAGTTATTTACACTTAAATACACAGTATTTTGGAAAGCCGAGCTGGGTGCTAAACATTGGTTCAGTTTCATATTTTTAATATCACACATGTACAAGTTATAGCTCAAATGAAAGCTCTTGTTGGTGCTCATACGGTTCTAGCATTCTTTTTACTAAATTATATTCACATATCAAACAGTTATCAAATGAATCGTGGTGTTTCCATGGCATAAGTGAAAACAATAAATTTATGATCAATAAGCAGCCCCAGATAGCTCAGACACAGGGCCGGAGCAAGCTGAGCTGCCGCTCTAGGCAAAGGACGGTCACGCCGCCCTCAACCCAAAAATGAAAAAAAAAAAAAGGGGGGGGGGGTTTCTGTCGCGGACGCCGCCCTGTCTGCCGCCCTAGGCGCGGATATAATTGAGGGCGCGGGTAGTGTCGGGGACGCTGCCCTCTCTATTCTACTGCACTAGACGCGGATATGATTAAGGGCACAGGTGGTGAGGGTAGTGTCACAGATGCCACCCTCTCTATTCTGCCGCCCAAGACGCGGATATAACTGAGGGCGCAGGTGGTGAGGGTAGTGCCGCAAACGCTGCCCTCTCTACTCTGCCGCCCTAGGCGGCCGCCTAGGTCTCCTCTATGGACGCGGCAGCCCTGCTCAGACAGCTGTCATCTCTTACCTTATGCTGTGTGCTTCAGGGCCATTTCTCCTCTGTTTTTGAGGTGATGTGAATAAGTAATCCTTTTATATGTCTGACTTGGTCCAAACACAGTGAATTATGTTTGATCAAACAAAAGAATAGTGAAATATGAAAACAATGATCGATCCCTGTGGCTTGTACAGCACCTCTCATCAGTTGGAATACAATAACTTTTGCATAGATTATGGTAGAGACATTTTCCTGTGATTACAGACATGTGCAGGAACCACCAAAATTAATTACAGCACCCTAGACCACACAGAACCTAAAAGGTACACTTTCAAATTTGAGTTTATAAAAAAAATACAAAAAGTGCCTCTTTTTTTAGGTGTTTATTATAACACAGACGACATATACAGTTTTTTTACACACCTTTAAAAGTGTTTTATGAAAATTCAAAGGGTTTTCTTTAAAATGGTACCAAATTTTTGCATTTACACCTCTGAGTGTGGATTTGGGAAGCTTTTAAATTTGGGTTGCTAAATCAAGGCGGAAATCCCAAAATAGCAGCAGAGTTTAACTGGTTAAAAAAAGAATTACTATTGAAAACAATAACGATAGCCATTGACCTCCATAGCAGAAAAAGAAAATACTAAGGAAGTCAATGGCTACCGGTTTCCAACATTTTTTCAAAATATCTTCTTTTGTATTTAACAGAAAAGCAGAAACTCAACAAGGTTTGGAACAAATGTCCCTTTAAAAAGCGTATTGAAAAAGAAGACATTAATTTGAGTGATACTGTTAATATTACTCACGGCATTCGGGAAGCATGCACTTCTCCACCTGCTCCAGCTCATCTGGACACTGGCCGGGCTTAACGGGTGTCTTTAGCATGCGCTGACGGGTTCTCATGCCCACACCGCAGGACACACTGCACTCACCCCAGTCTGACCATGGCGACAGCATACACACCACCGCATCTGTACACACATAAGGGATGCAACATTTTACAGGTTATAAAGAGTTACTGCGTATATACTTAGAGTGCTAGTGGACACTATCTAGTGCATTCTACAATTGTAGTCCTTTTTTTAGATATATGATGGATATTTTATGTCTACATTACTTAGTGGATACGAATATTTCTATTTACAAAAGAAATCATTTGATGAAGCACATCATATATACTCAGAGATCTGCTATTATACATGGCCTATCACATATTTGCAAGCTTAAATAAATAATTGAATGTTTTTTTATTTGATGGTTTCTTAAAAAAGTAAAATATAGTTTAATAGTTTTTTTCATGTTTGTTAGCTTCCCCCCACCCCACATTTTTACAGTATAGCCACAAAATTATAATAACATCAAATTAAGATTAATTAATGAATTACTAGAATAACTTTTATGATTAATCCAAAATTCAAAAATGCAAACAATTAATCTAAATCTTTGTATAGTAATGTTGTTGTTTTTTTGCATACACTATAGAGGAGCAATATTTAAATACAATTTTGATTCACCACTCACATTCATGGTTCTCAGAAAAAAAGGCAATAATAATTCAATTTAAATAATAATTATAATAATAAAATAATAATTGTTATCATTACTATTGATACATTGTACTAAAATATGCAACACAAATGTAACAATTAACATATATGACAAATAGCTAATTTTTCATGAAGAATAATAAATAATATAGACTACTAGACTAATATATTGCATATTACCCATTTTATTCACTATAGTAACATATTAATTTATATTATACATTATACACTGCACACTATATTCATTTAAACAGCCACTTTAATAATAATAACAACAACAACAACACTGTTAAATTATAAAGCAATATAATTACACAAATAATATTTTGTTTAATGTATGTGAGCAATTTCACACGAGAAGCAGTGCAGTGTGGCTGTATATCGGCACTGGTAGGAGGAGTGGGTTGGCTCGAGGCTGCAGGCCAAGTTCCTTAGCGTCCCACCAGTGACAATATAAAGCCACATTGCACTGCTACGAGTGTGATATTGCATTTATACAACAGTTCAACGGCATAATCATGTGTGTGTGTATATATATATATATATATATATATATATATATATATATATATATATATATATATATATATATATATATATATATATAAATAAATAAATAAAAAATTAAACACGGGGAGTCTCAAAACCCTTTTGTAAGAGGAACTACTTTCTATATATATTATGTTAAAAAATAATGTTTAGACGTTATATTTTTGAATGTTAACAGTGTAAATGATTTATAGATAGTCTATTAAACAGCAGTTCCTTTAGTTATCCGCTAGTTATAATAATAAGGTTTAAATTGGGATAATGTTGACACTTACCACTGTGTTTTTTCAGGTTGGAATTCATGTAAATGTTGCAATGTCAGTTCGATGTACAGCATGCATAGCATTATCAAACTATTCTTGTTGACATCTTGGAGTAAAAACATAAACTGAACTTGAGGCTGAGGGTGACATGGTCCGATAAACTCACTGCACAGACAGCGTGACTGTCCTTCTCAGAACAGCAGAAAGCCATGGCGTGACGGCAGTATAAACTCGCACGGCTTTCTCGAGTCATCATTCCAAGATTCCACCAAATGTAGCAAAGTAAGAGTAAGGATTTTTCTCTAATAATTTACTTGAGTAAAAGTAGACATTTTTAAATGTACTCAAGAAGTACACATTACCCAACAGTTTAATTCAAGTAAATGTAAGGAAGTAAATGTAATTCGTTACTATCCACCTTTGTATGTTGTAATATTTGCAGTAATATTTGTCAAAAGGTAGAGAGTCTCTCTGCTTGTTGCTGACTGTATGTGGGCGGAGTAATACACAAATATGAAAGGTGAAGAGGCCTTTGTGTGATGTTTCTGGCAAAATATTTCATGGCTATCAGCCAATCACATTCAAGAACCAGATAGAATTGTTGTACTTTATAAACATTAATAAATAATTAAACATCTTTACAGTATTGTGTTTTCTGATTATCTACAGTTAAAGTCAGAATTATTATTATCCCCGTTAATTTTCCCCCCAATTTCTGTTTAACAGAGAGCAGATTGTTTTTAACACATTTCTGAACATAGTCATTTTTAATTTTTAATTCATTTTCTCATTTTTAATAACTGATTTATTTTATCTTTGCCATGATGACAGTAAATAATGTTTGACTAGATATTTTACAAGAAACTTCTATACATTTCTATAGACATTTAAAGGCTTAACTAGGTTAATTAGGTTAACTAACTGTTAATAACTGCTTTTATCCTAACCGAAATAAAACAAATAAGGCTTCCTCCAGAAGAAAAATTATTATCAGCCATACTGTGAAAATTTCCTTGCTCTGTTAAACATCACTTGGGAAATATTTAAAAAAAGAAAAAAAATTTTTTAATAACTTAATAACTCTTATTTTAACTGTATTTAGCATAACTCTTTCACTAGTACGTTTAAAGCACTATCCACTACAAGTTCAATCAGACAAGCTTTTAATACCTCCTTTACAAAGCTGAAGGCTGATTATTGAAGGTCACATTATGCAACCACACACAATTGTTTACACCCTGCCATCTCTTTCCTTAAGAACAAATGATCCAGCCAAATTAGCATCAAACTTTGCTCCGAGCACTTACAAAACAGCAAAACACACAAACCTTGATGCCTTAATTCAAACGAGTCCTCATGAACAACTGGTGCAGATCGACCCGCGGCAATGACACGTAGGTCTAATTAGAAATCGACAAGCAGCAAAGAGGAATTTCTGGTAATGAATCAAGCCTGGACCCATGAGAGTGTGTTCGACTTCATACTTACTGCACTCGGGCATCATGCACTTCTCTGCCTCTGCCATCTGCACTCGACAGGGCGAACCGTCCGAGGCGTCCATCTTCATCATGCGTTCTCTCCTCCTCATGCCCAAACCACAGCTTACACTACAGGGCTCCCACTCGCCCCACTCCGTCACCACACAGCTACTGGGTGCTAAAACACACATATACAGTATTGAACAAAATAATTGGTGGCCTTGATATATATGAGCAAAGAAGAACAATTTGTTGTATATTTGTTTATATTTGTTTTTCAATACACTATGGACAAAACTATTGGCACTTACATGATATGTCTAAGAAGTATATTTCCATTTATGTTTCCATTTATTATATACATGCATACAGTTGAAGTCAAAAATATTTTTTATTAGTTTTTTTGCCCAAACACATTTATAATCATACCATTTATCGATGGCATGTTCAGTATGTGCAGGATTTTATTATCAAATATTTAATGCTCATTATTATAGTATTTCTGTACAACATAAAACCATGATATTAATGAAATTTTTTTAAGCCTCTACCATATTTACCATATTTACTTCAGTAGGTCTAATTAAATTGATCAAATAAACGGGCAGCTTTAACGAAGAAACTACTGGCCAATTAAGAAACCCTTTTGTCGGTGACAGCCCAAATTTTGACCTGAAATTCAAGAACACGTTCTGGAGACAAAAAATACTTCCCAGAAAGCCACAACATCATAAGACGTTAATGTTAGGTTAGAATTAGGTTGTGACTGGTGATCAAAATGTAAAGTCCAGCCAGTGTCTGAGGACAACGTTATTTTGACGTCCAACAACGACATCAAATGATATTAATAATTGGTTGATTTTAGGTTGTGTTAGAAAGTGACCAAAATCCAACATCTGATAGATGTCATAGTGGTAACGTCCACACAACGTCAAGGTTTAACATGATTAGACGCTGATATTTGATTGATTTTAGACTGATTTTAGGTTGAACGTTGGCCATTGACATCGGCCTGACGTTGGGTTCTGATGTCAACCCAGTTTTCATTTCCAAACAAAATCCAACATCACCACGACATTGTGGTACGTCAATATGATGTCATGCTGACATCTTGTCCTGGCAGGGTTATTTTATTGTAAATACTTCCTTGTAAAAAGGTCAAAATTGAGGCCAAAAATTTGACCCCTGTAAATGAAGTCAAATGGAGATGTTTTGAATCTGCATGAATAAAGTGTGTGACTTAGGTTATCATTTTAAAATGCCTTTTCAGAATAGAAATGCTCTTCATCCTGAAATTCCTGCATTCCATTCATGCTCACTTGGCATGCACATATTTTACCAGCATCCATATTTGCAGGTTACTGGTTGCACAATGGTAAATATGAGACTGGCTTGATAAATTAAAGAACGATATGCAATAATCTAAAAGACGATTTTAAAGATTGTGTTTTGGTCATCTGCTTTGGTTATTCTCCCACCAAATAAAATTTCCCTGGAGTCACAAAACATATTTCACCTTTAGATGAATGTAACTTCATTTGTTTATATAGATGTAAATAGTGGCTGGCAGAACCACTAGGTGAAACTAGTGTGAAATATATAATATTCTGATGTAAGCATCTCTAGTACATAAAAATGGCATTGCACTTTGCTGTTACTTTCACTTTTACAGATGAACTTTTGTTTTGGCTTTATTTGAATTTTTAATGACTGAACAGCGTTTGTTGTAAAATTTTGTTTCAACCAAACTGGGCCATAGTTCACCAAAATGTTGATACCCTGACCTAAACCCTTACGAAAACGAGGAGAAAGAGCAACCACATGGACCAGAGAACCCATAGGATCTGGAGAGATTCTGTGTTGAATGTCTGTTGAATGTCTAATGCTCCACACACTTCATCAAGCAATTTACAAGAAGATGTAGAGCTATTATCAAGGCAAAGCTTGCAAAAACTAGTAAACAAAAGGGTGCGAATGGTTTTGACCAATGTGTATTGGAGAAAAAATACTGACATACTCAACAGCATATTTTTTCACAGCATTTCTTGCTCACAATTACCAAGACTGCCAATCTCTTTGACCGAAACTGTGCATGATATCATGAACGTAACATAATGTAAGACTTACAGCAGTCGTCATTGACCACACACTTCTCTGTCTCCTCTGTTGGCAGTGTGCAGCTGGATCCGTCCTCTGGGAACTGCTTGACGTACCTCTCTCTGGACCTCATGCCCATCCCGCATGAAGCGCTGCAGGGTGACCAGCTGATCCACTCAGACATCATACAAGTAGAGGCCTCTAGAAGACAGAACACAGCCATAGACTAGTGAGCTACTTTTGTATGACACCAAATTTAATTAGTTAACTTAAAACTAAGAGTGGTCGGCACGGTGGCTCGGTGGCTTCTCAAAGCAAGAAGGTCCCTGGTTCGAGTCCCAGCTAGGCCAGTTGGCATTTCTGTGTGGAGTTTGCATGTTCTTCCCGTGTTCAAGTAGGTTTCCTCTCGGTGCTCTGGTTTCCCCCACATTCTAAAGACATGCGCTATAGGTGAATTAAATAAACCAAATTGAGCATAGTGTATGAGTGCATGTGTGAATGTGAGAGTATATTGGTGTCGCTGTGGCGACCTCTGATGAATAACCCAGGTAGCAAAAAATTCTGGCCCAGATTTGGCATAAATCTGGCAAAGCAGGCATTCATTCGACACTGGCATTCAGCTTGTGGGCTGTTTTGGCAGAGGTGACACCATTTTAAAGGAGACACACAATACTTGGGCCAGATGTAAAATGTAGTATTTGGCCCAGATGTTAATAATTGATATGCAGGCCATTTAAGTTTGGCCAATCTTGACCCACTTTTAAAATACATGTTTATTTTATTCCCCCAATTGGGTCGCTTCCAGAAAAAGTACGCCCATAGCATGCCTAAAGCGCAATGAAACATAGGTTTATCAATTTCTGGTTGAGTTCAGGCTCAGTTATGCATTATTAACTTGGATGAGACTTGGCCCAGATACTGTATAGTCCATGTTTGGCCCTTGTCTGGAAGCCAGACTTGGTCCAGTCATGTACCGTAATTCACTGTGGCATGCGGGCCAAGCAAAAGCTGACTGTGTGGGCCAGAGCTGAGCCAGAGATATTTTTACTGTGAGAAGGGACTACGCCGAAGGAGCATGAACGAATGGCAACAAACTATTGTACCTGTTCACAATATCACGTTTGGACACTGTACATGCTACAATGTGACTATTGTGGATGTGTATGCTGCGATGTCGATGCTAAAACGATATATTGTGCAGCCCTAAAGCATATATTGAAAATGGTTAACTTTTACATTGCTACTCATGCATTACAAACACCTCCTCCTGGCCAATGACTTCATTATCAGTGCAAACATCAATCTGTGTGACATTCCCTCTCCACTGTTCTACTGTACAGTACATACAGCACTCTGAAGCATTGAGCAGCTTCTCTAATCCTCTGGTTCTTCACATAAGCTTCCAGTCCACCTCTGTACCCTACCACCCTCTCCAGCTCATCCTTCATATCTTCCACCTCTATAAAGCGCTGACAGATGTGATCAAACTGACCGATCGCCGCATCCTTTATCTCACCTCGGCCGCTCCAATTATCTCTAAGGCAGAGCTTGTAAATAGATTTGTTATCAGCTGGGATGGATGAACTCGGGTCGGCTCTCCATAGATTTGTCTCGGGTGCTGCAGAATCGCAGGCCTCCATTTGGGAGCACGAGCTAATAAAGCAGAACTAAGTGAATCATTAATAAGAGCTGTAAATAAACGTGGCCCTGACGGGGCCCCCCTCCGGAGACCCCCTGGTGTCGGTCTGTCAATGGGATGCCGGATTATCAATCAATGCGCAACCCTTAACGGCTCATTAATTAAAAACAAAAGAGAGTCGAAGCGAAGCAATGCAGGCAGTATTAATCAATAGTGCGCGCGGGTAAGAAACAACAGACTCCACTGCTTGTCGGGATGAAGACGTGATGTGGGAAAACAGGTGGATCAGAGGATGGAGAGGAGGTGTGGATGAGACAGATACGCTGAGAGATGGAGAAAAAATGCGAAAGTCAGAACGCAGACAAGAGACGAGAGAGCCAACATCACAGGAGCTGCGCAGTTTTTGTTCTGGGAAGTTTTCGTGGTTATTTTGGCTTATTTGTATTGTGATTTGTTAGAACAATTCACGTATTTGTTGTTTTGATAGCAAGATTAAACAAACATGAGGAATTCAAAGTAAACAACAGATCTCAAGCAGAACTGCGGCAGCTACAGACTAGTGACTTTTGTTTCAAAATGAAGTCATGTTCCGAGCGGTAAAAAAACCCACTGCTTTTTAAGGACATTCGAAGCTTATTCTGTTTAAAGGGGACCTGTTATGTAAAAATCATTTTTATAAAGGGGTTAAACACAGTTGTGTCGCAACTGTATGTAAATATAACCAGCTTCTAAAATTAAACATTAATTAATTCTATTTTTAAGAATCACACTTGATAAAAACTGCCTGCAGAAACATTTTGATTGACATTCTCCCTTTGTACGCATCATTAGAGGGAGAAAGCTCCACCCATTAGTGACCATCTCTCCCTCATTAGCATAGAGCATTAGTCTTGTTTTTGAATCTGCCACTATGCTGACACATAAACATTTGTAGCTCTGGCCTCTTTTGAAACGAGCACAATCTCATTTAAATTTAAAGCAACAGTCACCAAAATGGTACAAACCATTCGAAATTCAAAGATTATTCTGTTTAAAGGGCACCTACTATGCTAAAATCACTTTTATGAGGCAGTTAAACACAGTTGTGTGGCAACAGTCTGTGAATAAAACCATCTCCTAGTTGTAAAAATTATTAGTTATATTTTTTATAATCACACTTGATAAAAACAGCCTGCAGAAACACTTTGACTGACATTCTCCCATTGCACGTGTCATTAGAGGGGGAAAGCTCAGCCCATTAGTGATAATCTGTCCCTCAATAGCATAAAACCAAATCTAAACTGTATTTGTCACATACAGAGTCATACACAGTATGATATGAAGTAAAAGGCCTACACATTTATTTTGGCTAAAATAATAACAAAAAAAAAATAACAATAAGAATTTACATTTTGGAGAGGTATAAATGCAACAGAAAATAAAAGCAAATATAAAATATTTAAACACTTTTGACTTTGAATATAGAATAGAACGTTAGTCTTGTTTTTGAATCTGCCACTATGCTGACAAACAGGCATTTGTAGCTCTGCCCTCTTTTGAAACTAATTTAAAGCATCAGTCACCAAAATGACACAATTAGGATAAAAGAGACGGAGAGAGGGCAAAACGCACAAGGGCTGCGCAGTTTTTGTTCTAGGAGGTTTCCGTGGTTATTGTGAATTGTTTGTATTGCGATTTGTTAGAACAACTCACATGTTTTGATAGCAAGATTAAACATGAAGAATTCAAAGTAAACAACAGATCTCAGGCGGAACTGCGACAGCTACAGAAAGGGGCCTAAAAAGGGGCAGTTTCAAAGAGTTATAAAACATTATTTGTGTGGTATTGTGAGCTTCATTTTACATCTTGTAAAAAGGTGCATAATAGGCCCCCGTTAAAGTATAGAAAGTATATATTTTTTTTGCTATATTGTCATGTAATTATGAAAATGCACAGCAATGGAATGAAAGATTATAAACATTTTTTAGAGAACCACAAAAGAGCACAATTCTAGCAAACAAAACATCATCGAGGCTGCAACATTAATACTGGACAATTAGCAGAGTGAACTGAGGGACTTACACAAGAGCTAATTAGGGAGAACAGAACAGATGTGTAAATGAATTGTGTTGGAAACAAATGAGTAGAAAGAAAGAGGACACGGGAAAACTAGGCCAAAAGCAAGGTAGACTTGTTAAAATATGTTTTTTAATTATGCAAACATTAAAACATATTCTAAATATTTTGAGATGCAATACAGTTATGTATGTACAGTTGAAGTCAGAATTATTAGCCCCCCTTTGATTAAAAAAAAAAATATTTACCAAATTATGTTTAACAGAGCAAATAAATTTTCACAGCATGTCTGATATATATATATATATATATATATATATATATATATATATATATATATATATATACAGTATATATATTAGACATACTGTAATATAAAATACATATATATATATATATATATATATATATATATATATATATATATATATATATATATAATTTTTTTTTCCCTTCTTCTGGAGAAATTCTTACTTCATTAATTCAGGCTAGAATAAAAGCAGTTGTTTTTTTTAAGCACAATTTTAAGGTCAACATTATTAGCTTCTTTAAGCTATATTTTTTACCGATAGTCTACAGAACAAACTATCATTATACAATAACTTGCCTAATTACCCTAACCTGCCTAGTTAACCTAATTAACCTAGTTAAGCCTTTAAATGTCACTTTAAGCTGTTTTGAAGTGTCTTGAAAAATGTCAAGTCAAATATTATTTACTGGCATCATGGCAAAGATCAAATAAATCATATTTATTAGAGATGAGTTATTAAAGCTATTATGTTTAGAAATGTGTTGAAAACATCTTCACTTCGTTACAGAAAAATTGGGGGAAAAATAAACAGGGGGTCTAATTATCCAGGGGGCTAATAATTCTGATTTCAATTTTACATACATGTGTGTATTCTAAATATTTGGAAAAGTTTACAATATTTAAAAAATGTATTTTTGTATGATACATTTTACACTAATATCCTATTACAAATATTTAAAAGTAATACAGTTAGTTGTATCCAATAGTATAGTTTATATAAATAAATAAATACAACTGTTTGAATACAGTTTCAAAATATTTAGTATATTTTAATATATTCTAAATGATATACTCTAATATATTCATATATTATTATGTCGTTCTTTTATTTTTTCATTATTTTATAAGCTGTTTTAACACATTTTAATCACTTTTAATCGTCTTTAATCACTGTTAATTTCTTATACACTTGTCTCTTTTATTCATGTTTATGTAAAGCCCTTTAAATTGCCACTGTGTATGATATGTGCTGTATAAATAAACTTGATTTACTTATTATTGAACAAATAATACACAGGGCCGGCGTGTCCATAGAGGCGACCTAGGCGGCCGCATAGTGCGGCAGAATAGAAAGGGCGGCATCCCCGACACTACCCTCACCTCTCGCACCCTCAGTTATATCTCAGTTATATCCTCGTCTAGGGTGCCGTCTGCGACACTACCCTCACCACCCGCGCCCTTACCACGTCTAGGGCGGCAAAATAGAGAGGGCGGCGTCCCTGACATTACCCTCACCTCTCGCGCCCTCAGTTATATCTCAGTTATATCTGCATCTAGGGCGGCAGACCGTCTTTTGCCTAGAGCAGCAGTTCAGCTTGCTCCGGCCCTGATAATACATAATTCATAAAAATAAAAAAAGTTATCTATGAGATCGCTACCTGCCAGGATATAGAAGGTGCATGGTACAGTATATGAGGAAGAACGTTTTTTTTAAAGGAAATGTTGGTAACACTATAGAATATTAGTGCTTTAGTTTATTACTACTATTACTACTGTAATATTTCAATAATATGTTATTATAAAAAATTTAAACTAAAATATTTTAAACTATTTAATAGCTCAGTATATAATATAAATTGTATATTTAATATACTAATCATTAAATTGGCCTATTTTAAATAATTTAATATATTAAAAAACATTCTATAATAAAAATATTTTTATTCAATAGTATGTAATAATTAGAAAATAATGATATAATAATACAGAAAAAATATTTGTATATGAAAAAATATCACAGTAAAAAAACGGAAGAAAATCCACCTGTGATGGCTGACGTTTTTTGTTCACAAAATACTGCTAATTGCTGTGTTTGTTTGTTTTTTGCCTCAGTGTGATAAATATGGTAAAATAATTTTACATTTTGTCTACATCATTTTATCAACCGCAAAAAAACACCCTGCTATAGAATATAACAGGTTTATACTGTAACAGTTTTGATGAAATTACCAGCAATTTTTAAGAGTGTATTTTATGACAAATTCGTTATTTTTAAGCTGCACAAAAATGTGATTCATTAAAGACGTTCTGCAACTGATTTTGATATGCGTATGATTTGCTGTGCAGGACTTACAGGTGTACAGACAGTAAACCGCTCAAAACAGAAAACATTATTTGCAGTTTAACTTACCAAGATTTTACTCTCTGACCCAAATGGCCAACAGACCAGAGTGCAAATGTCGTATTGATTCTTTTAAACGATAAACCACAATTTATAGCTTATGGTTATGGTTTATAGCGTCTACTTCTGAGACGAGAGAATCGATACCCTGGTCTGCTCGAGCAGATTGCAGAAATAAAACTCCAAAGCAGCAGTTTGAGGTCGCGTAAGGTTTTCTTAACCTTGAAAAGACAGGCCTTGCATTTCTCTACATTACTGGCACTAACAAGACTATCAATTAATTACATGCTCTGCTCGCTGCCGACTAAAATCAATGCTTCTCATGCATACATTTCTGTACCATTTTATTCCTTCATTCCCTTCATTTCCTTATTTAATGCGCATTCCTCACTTGGTTTTGCTCGGGTTCTAGTATTAAAACAATTTTTAATAGTTGCTAAAAGAACAATAAATATGTTGAAATACTCAAAAATATGGATATTTTGCATGATCATGGTAAAGTATAATACTTCATGTTTTTTGTATTTACAATTTTATTTTACCTTTACACATTTATATGAATATACAAATATTTTTGTACAGTTTTACATTAACAAAAATGTAAATAATTAAAATATTCTTAAACTTTAATATTTACATACAATAACTAAAATATTTTAATAATTTATTATTATTATTATTATTATTATTATTATTATATATTTATAAAATGTTTTTACTTGTGTTTAATTTAAAAAACAAAAAAAGTCATATTTATAGCCTTTTAATATACTTACCGGCCACTGTATTAGGTACACCTGTCCAACTGCTTGTTAACACACATTTCTAATCAGCCGATCGCATGGCAGCAACTAAATGCATTTACGCATAAAGACATGGTCAAAGAAACTGCTGATCTACTGGGATTTTCGCGCACAACCATCCGTAGGGATTACAGAGAATAGTCTGAAAAAGAGAAAATATCTAGAGAGCTGCAGTTATGTGAGTGCAAATGTCTTGTTGATGCCAGTGGTCAGAGGAGAATGGCCAGACTGGCTCCAGCTGATAGAAAGGCAACAGTAACCAACATATAACCACTCATTACTACCGAGGTATGCAGAAGAGCATCTCTGAACGCACAACACGTCCAACCTTGAGGTGAATGGGCTACAGCAGCAGAAGACAACACTGGATGCCACTTTTGTTAACTAAGAACAGGAAACTGAGAGCAAGAACAATTTGCACAGGCTGACCAAAATTGGACAATAGGAGATTGGAAAAACATTGCCTTGTCTAATGAGTCTCAATTTCTGCTGCGATATTTGGATGGTAGGGTCAGAATTTGGCATCAACAACATGAAAGCATGGATCCATTCTGCCTTGTTTCAATGGTTCAGGCTGGTGGTGCTGGTGTAATGGTGTGGGGGACATTTTCTTTGCACACTTTGGGTCTATGAGTACCGATTGAGCATTGTGTCAATGCCACAGCCCACCTGAGTAATGTTGCTGACCATGTCCATCCCTTTATGACCACAGTATACTCATCTTCTGATAGGTACTTCCAGCAGGATAACACATCATGTCATAAAGTCTGAATCCTCTCAGAATGGTTTCTTGAACAGGACAATGAGTTCACTGTACTCGAGCGACCTCCAAAGTCACCAGACCCCAATCCAGTAGCACCTTTGGAATGTGAATGGGAGATTCGCATCGGGGATGTGCAGCTGACAAATCTGCAGCAACTGCGTGATGCTATCATGTCAGTATGCACCAAAATCTCTGAGGAATATTTCCAGTACCTTGTTTGAATATATGCCACGAGAACAGTTCAAAAGGCAAAAGGGGGTCCAACCCAGTACTAGTAAGGTGTACCTAATAAAGTGGCCGGTGAGAGTGTTTGTGTGTGTATTTATTGCATATATATATATATATATATATATATATATATATATATATATATATATATATATATATATATATATATATATAGTAAATACATTAACATTAACTAAAGGACTATTATTCTAAAGTATTGCCAATATTTCCTTTTTTCTTCTTCATATACCATGCACCTTCTATATCCTGGCAGATGGCGATCTCATAATCTGCCCTGAAAGGCTTTTATATGCACTGAAGAGCTCACCCTCCTCGCTGCAGCCCGGCCCCATACAGGGCTCAAAGTCTTGGGTGTGCAGACATGGCAGGTTGGGGTCCAGCTGCGCTTTTAGCATCCTCTGCCTCATCCTCCGCCCCTTATCACAGGTGGAGGAGCTGCAGGCCGACCACGGAGACCAGTTGGAGTAAATGCACGTCTCTGGAGTGTTATCTCCTGCAGGAAAGTCAGTGGAGAGACTCATTAGAGGAAACGGCAGGGCTTGTGAACAGCAGTAACACTTTTAAAGCTTTTCTTAATGGGCATGCTGTAAAAGAACATTGACTTTTCTTTGTGACTTTGTAACTTTTTGTCCTTGTCTCGGTTTAATTCTGCTCTGAGCTTTGGTTTTGCTTTTAAAGCATTTCATGAGCAGCCTGACAGCAATAACGGTTGAGTTTGGAGTATATTGCGAAATACGGCTTAGTGTAACTGTCAAAGAATGCTGGGATTTTATTAAGTTAATATACAGTTGAAGTCAGGATGATTAGCCCTCCTGAATTTTTAGCCCCTCCTGTATATTTTCCGCCCAATTTCTGTTTAACGTAAAGAAGATTCATTAAAAGCATTTCTAAACATAATAGTTTTAATAACTAATTTCTAATAACTTATTTCTTTTATCTTTGCTCTAATGACAGTGCATAATAGTGTATTTTACAAAATATGTTAGTATTCAGCTTAACCTTTGTGCACTGTTCAAACTTACTACCCTTTTGTTCTGTTAGGGATGAAAACATTTACTAAAACTGCTATAAAAATGCATCAGATAAATTTTTTTTTTTGCATAAATCTGTTAATCCGCCTTAATCCTGATCAAAACTATTAAAATGTTTTTAAAAGAACTTTCCTAAACTTACAAAACTTTTAAAAGAACATACATGATTAATGACTTGCATGAGAAAATTACATGATTTTAACTCTTTAATTGCCAAATTAATAAATGATTTGGTGAAATCACACACAAAATTACTTATTTTCAATATAAAAAGTAATTGTGGACTGTATGTTTAAACCTTTTATCACACGTACATGTGAAAGATTAGTAACAACATTGCCTTTGTTGCATTGTTAGTTTTTGTGGAGCATAAGATTTTCATTTTTCTCTCCTGAATTTACTGTTGGTGGCTGTTTTTGCCCCATTGACTTTCAATATCACCACATTTTTTGATCACAAAACCATGACACCATATAATTATGCATTTTTGATTGTTGGGGGTTTTCTGTTTGGAGGAGATAAAATTAGTCATTTTACTGTTAATCATTAGTTGGCACCATTAACCCTTCATATAGGCCTTATTTTATGGATATTATATATGGTTTAATATAGAGTATAAAGGCTTAACTAGGTTTATTAGGTTAGGGTAATTAGGCAAGTCATTGTTTACCAATGGTTTGTTCTGTTGTTAATCGAAAATAAATATTGCTTAACGGGGCTAATTAATATTGACTTAAAAAAATAAAAAACTGCTTATCTTCTAGCTGGAATAAAACAAGTAAAACTTTCACCAGTAGATAAAATATCATATAAAATACTGCAAAAAATACCTTACTCTGTCAAACATAATTTGGGAAATATATAAAAAAAATTCACAGGAGGGTGAATAGTTTTGACTTCAACTGTATGTGCTGTCTGGTTTCACTGCTAAGTTCATGAAGTTAGTTGACAACAGTTGTGTTAGTGTTAGTTGAAGTTAGTGTTTTAGAGTACTGTATATAAAATGTGTTTTTTTTATTGTAAATCATTGATTGTGTCGAATTTGATCTGATCTTTCTTGTGTTCGGTTCTTCTTCTTAAAAATGTATTTATGCACATGTGGTAGCTAAAAGGGGATTTAGGTAAAATCATTCTGGGTATTTTTTTTTTCAGTAGAACTATAAAAGTGTTCTACAGGACAATCCAACAGCAAAACGAAACCAGACTTTGTACTGTAAATGGTGAGAATGCAATCTAACTGACTGCAAAATCAACAGATGTCAATCAGTTCTCAGTGACTCTCAGCATTTTGCGTCTCCAAAAAAAAACTAATCTTTACCGAAAATCAAATGTTCATTTTTTTTGATTGTTTACTCTACCAAGTTAAAAAACATTTACATGAAACATCTATTTGCTAAATTATTTGTAATATTAAAAAATTGTATTTTGTATCTGTCCATGCCATCTGATCAACTCTATTACATCTGCTCATCTAGAAGGGATACAGCGTCCGGAAGTTAATGAGAATTATTTAAATAAATTTATTAATATTCAAATTAATTGTATTTTATTAATGTCTACCTCTACCCCACCCTGAACCCAACCATCACAACAATGTCAAAACAGTAATTATACCAAGTAAAATTCATATTATGTATTATATTAGCCATTAAACTGTATTTTATTAAGGGCTTTTGGTAGCACTTACATAGAATAGCAAAGTCGAGTAAAGGAGGCCAGGCCTTCTTATTCATGGCTCCTAAAGTTTCAGACACACTCTCTCAATTCAAAACTAGATTAAAGACCTATCTTTTTAGTAAAGCATACACATAATGCATCACATAGCGGTATGATGCATGAATGTGCTCCATGCAGGTTTTTTTTTGCATCTTGTTTATATACACTATGAAAAGCAACTACGCTAATTATTCTCTTAATTCACTATTTCCACCTGGGGATACTCATCCCGAGGCCCGCAGAGACTATGCAGCGCCACTGATGTGATCCAAGACCAGCGACGAGATGAACCCAAGGTTTCCATAATCCTGGACCGGGCCGTATCCTGAGCAGCTGCTGTGGCGGTCTTGGAAGAGTGAAGAGCATAAGACTGATTCCTGTGACACTCCAGGGACAGACAAATCTTCGCTGATGTCCAGCGTTCTCCAGCCTTCAGCGCCTGACAGCAGCTCTGCACAAGACGTTTGACCATAAAATGAATGGCCGTGCCTAACTGAGGCTGGTTTCTCTCGAGGTTTTTAAAATCTTCACTTTCACCAATTGGTGAAGTTTTTTTTCTTGCTGCTGTTGCCACTGGCTTGCATGGTTCGGCATTTGTAGAGCTGCACATCGATGAATTTGCTCCTCAGTGTTTGGGCTCTTAGTATTAATTATTAAACCACACTGAACTGAGCTAAACTGAACTTAAACTCTGAAAACTGAACGGACACTGTTTCAATTTACTATGATATTCTATGTGAAGCTGCTTTGACACAATCTACATTGTAAAAGCGCTATAAAAATAAAGGTGAATTGAATTGAAAAAAAAGTGTGTGGCTGTATCCCATTTAGATCTATTAAAAGGCATGACAATCTTTAAAGCATTGATAAAAAAGTATGTGACTTGCTCTGATGTCACTTTCTCTGGCCGGAAATTCTGGAAGGTTAGATGTTTTGGTTGCCATACATGACGAATAAATGTCAGTATTTGACGTCAATAAGACGTTGGTTTAAGATGTTGGCCACGTTGCAACACAACCTAATATCAACCAAATATCAAGATCATTTGACCTCGTTGTTGGACAACAAAATAACGTTGTCCATAGACGCTGACTTGACATTAAATTTTGGTCACCAGGTACCACAACCTAAATCTAACCTAATATTAACATCTTATGATGTTGTGTGTGCCTGGGACATTACATTGGGTTTTAAACATGCCCTTTAGTGTCTGGTTTGATGTTAGCATCTTGAGCTAAAGCACAAAATGTTAGGAAATATCAACTCTGTCAGTGCTTCAACAATAAGTTGTAGCCAACGATTGGTAACAAAATCAGATGTTATCGACCACATTTTGCCTTATATAACATTAATAATAAAGTTTACTTCACATTCCAGTTTATGAATGTTATTTTATGTAAAATGTTTGAAATGTACTGTACCTGCTATTCTAGAATTACATATATATCTTTTTTCTCCACTATCAAACAGGACTAATAACTGCTATAGTAGTGCAGAAATCTTGGTGCCGCTGTATGTTGTTTGTTTAAGTCCTCCTCTTTTTCCATTCCCAAATGTGGAGGGAAACTACAGGTAATAATCTGGCACGGTGCATTAGCCAACAAACATAATTGAAGTGTACCATGGTAAAGCATATTCTTCTTCATATTCCTGCTGGTTGACTTAACCGTGACAGAAGGGACATTGGGAGGTTTACTCTAAGATACCTGCTGGCCGCCTTGTTCATTAAACTGTCCGGTGGCTATGTTTTTAAATGAGGTGCTACAAATTGGATAAGATAGCGTTGCCGTACGCACCTTCCTCCTTCTCCTCCTGAGCAATATCAGCGACGATATCGTCTATCGTGTCGGGCACGGTATTGCACTGCTCTCCCTGCAGATTGGAAGAACATGGATCAACATCACAGCGCCTGATAAGATCCACCATTTGCCATCTGATCACTATCACGCTAAGCCCAGCGCATGAGAAAAAAAAAAAAGATTCTCCGGGGGCAGATGATTGTAAACTAGCTGGCTAGAAGCAATCCCACGCTTTACCCCACTCAAAAGCTTAAAGATGAGATTCTTCCCAGCTGTGAGATAGAGATGAAACATCTGCTGTGGAATATTAACAGCTCTGGATCTGGAAGCCGATAAGTTCCAGAATGGATGATTTTGGGATCGAATCCTCCAAACGCTGTCATATGAAGGATAACAGATGTGTTATGAGCGCTGCTGCGGTTTTGGTGTATCATGAGTGCTTGCCTTGGCATATTTTTTATAAGCAATTGCTTTAGTTTGTTTAGCAAATAGACTTTTATGACTCAGCAATTCAGGGTTAGTAACTATAATAAACAACACAGCTGTTCGTTGTGAATACTAAGAAACTCATAGTTTTGGAGGAGAACTTAGAATAAACAGTGATACATTCCTATTAAAACAAGCTCAAACTCTTAAAGTAAAAACGAAAGGAAAATTGTTAAGAGAGCTAAAGTTAGCATTAACAGTTATAAAATCATTAACTGTAATGGTTATTATACAGTTATAAAATTACATTAACAGTAATTACATTATTAGCATTTTTAAAGATTAACTTACACACTATGAAGATTTTAATGACACAAAGTCAAGACAAGAATAATTTTTTAGTTGATTAAACTTATCTAAATAAGTTAATCAGGTTTCAACAAAAAAAAAAAAATTATACAAAGGCTAAAGTAATATTTTTAGTCAGTTTGATTGATGTGAGTTGAGATGGCTAGAAAAATTAATTTGATTCAACTAATAAATTTAAGGAAGCAATATTTTTTTACAGTGCATAATATACAGTTACATACCGAATATATTGACCTTATTATTTACGTACGAGCGGGCAAAGCCATTGGAATCTTCCGCTCACATTCACTTCCATTGTTTTTTAGACGTTAAAAATGGCTCGTTCTGTTGCTTGATGTTGCAGACTCACATTTTCTTATTATATTTTTCTACTTTTTATGTATAATCATGAACACATTTGTTTGTAGAGGAAGCAGTTTCTGCCATAATTATTACTAGTCATTTTGCCTTGGCATATTTTTGTAAGCAATTGCTTTAGTTTGTTTAGCAAATGGACTTTTGTGACTCAGCCATTCAGGGTGAGTAACTATAATAAACAACACTGTTGTTTGTAGTGAATGCTAAGAAACGGATGAATATAATTCTATTATATAAGAATCTATTTAAAAATTATACATTTAAAAATGCACCATTTTGTAAATTAAAAATTAAAGCAAAAGTTATTAACACTTTTATTAAATTATTAGCATTTTTATAAATTAACTTACACAATAAACATTTTACTGACAGTAAGTCAAAATATCAATAATGTTTATATTGATTGAACTTATCTGAATAAGTAAATCAAGTTTAAACTAAATACTTTTCTTTAGTTTTACAAAGATTAACGTAATATTTTTAATGAATTTGATTGATGTTAGTTGAGATGGCTAGAAAAGTTCATTTGACTCAATTAATAATTTTAAGGAAGCAATATTTTTACCGTGCATAATAAACAATTACATACCAAATATACTGACCTTATTCTTTACGTACAAGCGCTTTGGAATCTTCCAGTCTCATTTACTTCCATTGATTTTTAGATGTAAAAAACGGCTCGTTCTGCTGCTTGATGATGCAGACCAATATTTTCTTATTATATTATTCTTCTTTTTTATGTATAGTCATGAACACACCTGTTTGTGGAGCAAGCAGTTTGACCATTTTCTGCCATTTATTATTCCTAGTCAATTCTCCCATAGGCAACTGAATCGTAGGTTCTGAAACAATTCTTCGCACTTCATTGAAGTCACTGAAGAATAAGGTCAATAGCTTTAAAAAAAAAAGGGAGACCACTTGTGAAACAACCACAATGTTCTCTGTATTTACTTGGTATGGGTTTGAGTAAAAAAGTAACATTTGTTTTATTTTTAAACGTCTGATTCATGGGCTTCCAAATTTCAAATAAAAAATATTGTCATTAAATGTAGATTATTTTACTCTTCGAAAATGACAATTGGTCAGAATAACAAATGTTTTTTACTTATCGTGACTGAAAATCAGGATTATTGCACCAAATATTGACATCGTGACTTCTTTGTTGTCATTATATAATTATATAATAATAATAAATGACATTATTTGTATTTAAAGTTTTGAAAAAAAAAACAATAAAAATGAATTTTATGTAACGACATACAAGTCTTTACTGTCACTTTTAATCACTTTAACTATTGCAAAAAAATATATATTTCTGATTTGCATGGATTCATGCAAGCAATAAATCAAAGCAATAAGCATAAGTGTACACTACCAGCGTACTGTAAGTTTGGGGTCAGTAGAATTTTAAAATGTTTTAGAATAAGCTTCTCCTGCTCATCAAGGCTGCATTTATTTCATCAAAAATACAGTACAAATTGTAAAATTGTAAAGTGTTATTGCACTATAAATCAACTGTTTGAAAGTAGTTAATCATTTAATTCAATAATTTATTCCAGTGATTTTAATGATGAATTTTCAGCTTCAATACTCCAGTCTTCAGAGTCACATGGTCTTTCAGAAATTACTCAAATGTTAATTGGTATTGTTGTTATTATTATTCTTAATATTATTATAATTATTAATAGCAATAGTAATAAAAGCAATATTGACTAAAGTAATATTTTTTCCTTTAAACGACATACAGTAAGTAACAAATAAAATTAATAAACAAATATTCAACAATTTAACAATTTTTACACTTAATAAATGATGATGCATCATTTTATTAAATGATTTTGATAAACAGAAAAATTGTATTTAAAATTTTTAATAAAATTAATAATAATAAAAAATCTGTTATATATATATATATATATATATATATATATATATATATATATATATATATATATATATATATATATATATATATATATATATATCCCCTAAATCATCAGACCTAAAATGGATTGGCATTTTAAACAATTATTAGAAATATCTGAACTTAAAAATCATTACAATTTTCTATTATTCCACCAAATATTGATATTCTTTCATTGCTATTTTGTTTAATACAAATGAATTTTAAAACTGCACTAAATTACATTATTTGTATTTAAAATTTGGAAACAAATTGCAATTAAAAAGTATTGTATATAACAACATACACGTCTTTGCTGTTACTTTTAATCAATTGATTAATTTTTGCAGAAAACATAAAAATATATTTTATTCATTCATTATTTCATTATACATTTCAAATATCCAGTTCATGCAAGAAATAAACCAAAAATCCAACCCTAAAATAATGATTTAGCGTTCCCTAAAAATATTAGAGTTATTTAAATTAATAAAATAAATAAAAGCTTTCTAAACAAATTCTCTCCTTAACTTTTTTATTACTTTAATTAAATCTTCTCAAATAATTGTTTCAAGTCATCTGATGAAACTTCCTGTATGTAAGTTCTGTTGATTCCATAACAGATCTAGACAGGTGGTGCTGGGGTAGGTTGAGGGTTTCAGGGGACCTCTTTGCGCTGACACTTTCTTTTAATCAGTTTAATTTATTCATGCTGAATCAAAGCAATAATTTCTTTCCAAAAATAAAAAATAATTAAAAACAATTACCTCAGACTTTCTTATATTACATCAAAATCACTGTTACATATATAATTTTTAGGACAGATGTGAAAACAATTAAGAAACAAAACAACACACACACAAAAAAATAAATAAATCACCTTTCTTGCAATTCTCTCCACCACCACTCGGCCGAGTGGTGTCATGGGACCACCTGATGGGTCATAAAAAGGGCTTTGTGGGTGATCCAAGCTGGTCAGGGGTCGAATGCGCTCCTGTGGAATGCTGGGTTTATTGGGAGACTTATATATACGTATGAAAAGACAGAGAAAGAGAGGGAGGGAAAAAAAAAGAGGTAGAGTATGTGACTTTTGCTTGCCATCTGCCAGGGCCTCCCACCTTTCATCTCCATATGCATCATTCATAAATTCAGTGATTTATGGCCTTGTTTCCTGCCTCACCTGACAGTTACTTGTGTTTCACTCTGAGCCCTTTAGAGAAACGCTGCAAAACAAAGACCAACTGCTGCTCCAACTGCTTGGTTAAGCTTTTACTTCATTTTATAATGAGGAAAAATATCTTATGCCAGCAGGGGGCAGCATGTGAAGCGCTGTTCCACTTAGCATTTGTGATGTGTAAGACTTAATGCTGTTTGCTCTGAGCAGCTTGAGTAAATATTAACATGCTACTGACTTTTTTTGTGTTCGTCTGTATGTATTTATCTAGCGCAGGCTTTGGTTTTGTATATTAATATGCAGTAAAGTAAAAATATGGGACAACGAAGAAGCACAACAAAGTAGCTTTTGGTTTGGTTATATAAAAGTTTTTTTTTCCACATTAAACCCACAGGGCACGCAGAATATTCTATTAACTAAAAATTAAGGCTTAATGTGTTAATGCATGTGATTAAATACTTTGCATGCAGTTTATAAAGCTTTCAATTACTTTACTTTTATTTTGTTTAGTGTTTGTTTTTCCAAATATGAAAAGCATCAGGGGTGACGCAGTGGGTAACACAATCGCCTTACAGCAAGAAGGTCGCTGGTTTGAGCGCCGGCTGACTCAGTTGGCGTTTCTGTGTGGAGTTTGCATGTTCTCCCCGTGTTTGCGTGGGTTTCCTCCAGGTGCTCCAGTTTCCCTCACAAGTCCAAATACATGTCGTACAGGTAAACTGGCTAAGCCAGAATGTCTGTGTGTGAATGAGTGCACTGCAAAAAAGGCTTTTCTTACTTAGATTTTTTGTCTTGTTTCTAGTCGAAGTATTAAAGATTTTTATATAAAGAAGCATTTTCTAGACGAGCAAAACATAATAATACATAAAACATATGCTGGATAAGTTGGCGGTTCATTCTGCTGTGGTGACCTCAGATTAATAAAGGGACTTAGCCGAAAAAAAAAAATGAATGAATGAATGAATGAAAAGCATCAGAGCTGTTTTGAAGTTATATGAATGTACAAACAGACATTTGATGTTTAACAGTAAACCCCAGGGAAAGGAACCTTGATGGGATTTATTTATAAATCAGACCTAGAGAGAGAATGTTTGATAATTTTAAGTAATTATTTACTTGAATATTAAATACATTTAAATAATTTTCTTTCTTCGTATAGTGCAGTTTAAAAGGATAGTTTACTCAAAAGTAAACCATTCAACTCACCCTCAATATAATAATATTCATTAACAAAACTTTATCTTGACTTTAGTGATTTCACAGCCTACACTCAACAGTCAAATCTTGAAGTAAAACATCTGAACAGGGTCTATAGGTGTGGTAATCATAGTAAAAGTGGAAAAACAGACTCTAGTGTGTTATAAGAAATAGATGTACTCCTAGGTATTTTGTTCGACAATTCAATAGCCCATCATCATATTCCTTACTTAATTGATTGCTGATTAATCGTTGACATCCTTAGTATTAAGGTGTTTGAAATCTGACCTCATAAGAGACACCGCTATCAGTCCCAGCATCCCAAGGGACCAGATCCTTCACCAGTTTTTGGACCCAGCCACAATCCCTGGTGCAGAGATCTTCTCCAGACAAACCCACGTTCCAGTCAGGACTGGGGCCCAGCATGGTCAAAAAGGACATCAGGTGTCGGACTCGATCCACCGAAAACTCAGCTGATGGGGCGGCGCGACTGAAATAAGAGCAGAAAGAGAGCAAATCAACCGAATATGAAGTTGTTGTTTTGGAGGAAGGGCTGTACACAAACATAGCGGCTGCTTACAAGAACCCTGTGTCATGTTTTATGCGCCAAGGCATAATTTTCAAGACTTCATGCAGATGGTAATTAATCAAACTAATTGCCGTGATAACAAACCAGCACCAAAGCAACTGTCGCCGTTTCAGCAGAGCACGCTTGAAGATGTTTCTGGGATCTATTGATTAACACATATTAAATATTCATCATCAAACCAGCACCTTATGACTCGCACAGCCCACACTTGAGAGCTAAAGAAAAGAGGGAGAGGGCCATGCACAACAGGCAGATAAGAAGTTGAGAAATTAAAACACATATAAATCTGGGACACATCATAAAATAATAAAATAAAATAAAATAAAATAAAACACAAAACAAAACATAAATAAATAAATAAACCAAATCAAAACAAAACTCAAAATAAAACAAAATAAAACACAAAAAATAAAAAATAATAATAAAACAAAACAAAACAAAACAAACAAAAATAAAATAAAACAAATTGAAACAAAAAATAACAAAGCAAAGCAAAGCAAAACATAAAATAGAACAAAACAAAACATAGCAAAAAACAAAATAATAAAATAAAACAAAATAAAACAAAACAAAAAATAAAAAAGCAAAAAGCTAAGCAAAGCAAAGCAAAAACATAAAATAGAATAGAATAAAACAAAACAAAAAAAATAAATAATTAAACAAAACAAAAAGAAATATTAAAATAAATCAAATAAAATAATAAATTAAAATAAATAAAAATAAAAAATAAAAAATAAAATTTTTTTAACAATAAATACATAATTACATCCATCCAAACATTTCTTTGCTTTTGCTATAGAGTTTTCAATCATTTATCATCATATTGTTCCCATGTTTCATATTAATATAAACAATTAGCTCCATAGTGTTGGTGTGGGTTTCCTTCGGGTGCTCTGTTTTTTTTACACAGTCCAAAGACATGTGGTACAAGTGAATGAATAAACTAAATTGGCCATAGTGTAGAGTGTGTGTGAATGCAAGAGTGTATGGGTGCTTCTCAATAATGGGATGCGGCTGGAAGGGTATCCTCTGTGTAAAACATATGCTGGATAAGTTGGCGGTTCATTTCGCTGTTGCAACGCCTGAAGAAATAAGGGACTAAGCTGAAGGAAAATTAATGAAAGAATAAATGAATACTATTAATATTAATGATAATAATTTATGCAAGAAGGTCGCTGGTTTGAGCTTCGGATGGGTCAATTGGCATTTCTGTGTGGTGTTTGCATGTACCCCTGCGTTCGCGTGGGTTTCCTCCAAGTGCTCCGGTTTCCTCCACAAGTCCAAAGACATAAAGTACAGGTGAATTGGGTAAGCTAAATTAGCTGTAGAGTATGTGTGTGAATGAGAGTGTATGGTTGCTTCCCAGTGATGGGTTGCAGCTGGAAGGGCATCCGCTGCGTAAAACATATGCTGGATAATAAATGAATAAATATTTAATAACAATTATTTGCACCAGTTGGAATTAGTTGGTGATTATAAAATAAAATGTCATTGCAACTATTATTATAATTTCATTTCATTATCAAAAATAAAATTAAATAAATAAGAATAAAATTTGGTAACTAAAGAGTTACAAAAATACAGTCATAAAGACCTCTCAAGGGAGAAAAACCTGCATTCGCTAGGCTAAATTTATATATTAAAAAAAGTTCTGCCTCTTACTTGTAGGTATGGTGTGCAATATTGGAGCAAAGTGCCACACACGTCTGACTTCTGGTTAGAAATAATTAGCGTCTGCCATGCCATTCCCCCTTCATGGGGTAAATTGGTTGTGGTAATTGACAGTGTTATGTTAAAATAGGTCAAGAGAATGTCCTGATGTATTGGAGCTGGAGGAGGCCATTAACCTCAATCGCAAAAGCACCGCAGGGGAAATGCTACTCTCATCAAAAAACGGAAGCCTTCTCTAAACAAAACCGCACATAAAATATTAACCGCCTCGTTAGTGAGCGGGAAAAAAACATCTACATACCCAGCAGGTGCTAAAGAGAGTTTTTTTTTTTTTTTTTTCATGAACCAGCCCTTATTGTTTTCCACTGAAAATGACTCTTCCAGGAGAATCAAGACCATAGAAACATTTGGAAAATAATAATACTGTTTCAAATGTTCTCAGTCTGCCATGTCATATGTGAAAACGTAATGAACATCAGACGTTTCATTCATTCATTTATTTTCCTTTAATTTAATCCATTATTTATCAAGGCACACCAGAGAGGAATGAACAGCCAACTATTCCAGGATACGTTTTACGCATCGGATGCCGTTCCAGCTGCAACCCAGCACTGGGAAACACCCATACACTCTCACACTCATACACTATGGGCAATTTAGTAAATCCAATTCACTTGTACTGCATGTCTTTGAACTGTGAAACCGGAGCACCTAAAGGAAACCCATGTGAAAATGGGGAGAACATACTCCACACAGAAATGCCAGTTGGCCTAGCCAGGACTCAAGCCAGCCACCTTCTTGTTGTGAGGTGACAATGCTAACCCGATACACAGTGCTGCTCCTCGGCAGATGTTTGCAAATACTAAAACGAAACTGAAAATTAATTTACATGCCAATATCTTGTTGTGGGCCTGAAAATGTAATGTTTTTGTAAAATCAAAATATATCTCACATTGCAAGTAATATATATATATATTGATATATATATATATATATATATATTGATTTTCAAAATGGTATTTAAAAGAACAAGGAAACTTTCACAGTATGTCTGATTATATTTTTCTTCTGGAGAAAGTCTTATTTGTTTTATTTCGACAAGAATAAAAGCAGTTTTGAATTTTTAAGAAAATATTTTTGGGACAAAATTATTAGCACCTTTAAGCAAATTTTTTTTTTCAATAGTGTACTGAACAAACCATCGTTATAGAATAACTTGCCTAATTAACCTAGTTAAGCCTTTAAATGTCACTTTGAGCTGTATAGAAGTATACACACACACACACACACACACACACACACACACACTGTATATATGTATAAATATATACATACACACACACTAAAGTTCAATTTTGTTGCATCTTAAGCAACCGTTAATCCAATTTTTGTTACATAATTGTGCATATGATCCTTCAGGAAACATTCTATTTTGATGATTTATTGTTCTTAAGGTTTAGGAAAAACATGGAAGCTATGGATAAACTCCATATGTCTGTGGTGACCGAAACATGGGTTACATCTTAAAAGTAAAAAAAAGGAGTTTGTCAGAAACCTTCTTAAAAAGGGCTGGCAGAGCTTTCTCTGTGAAATAGAGCCTATTAGTTAAATGCCGGCAAAGCAGAACAGGGAAGTAGCTTGAAGCGAAAAGCGCGTGTTTGTCTGCCGTCTGGAGGTATTATAAAGTTGATGACGACAACATTGCCATCACCAACATTGTGAGATATGTAAACTTGGCATTGCTTGAGGTGGAAAGGAAAAGGCTACATTAACCACAACAAACCTGTTAAGACACATTAAAACCAAACGTAGAACCTTAATTTGAAATGCTGTCTCGCCACTATTTCACCTAGAAAGCTCTGCCATCCCTTTTTAAGAAGATTTCTGACAAACCACTTGTCCTGTTATAAAATATACTCCCTGTTTACAGACATATGGAGTTCGTCCGTAGCTCCCATGTCTCTATTAAGCCTTTATGTTATTATGCAAGTATTGAATCAAAGGACTCCTACTTGAAGGCAAAAAACCTGATCGGGAAATCCCTAATTTTAATGTATCCGTGTTGAATATAAGTATTTTTTCTCACTGACCGCAAATTCTGTTTCATACTGTGTATGTATGCTAGAAAACTAAATCAACTTCTCTCAATGTTTGATATTGCTTCTGCAATCTTTTACAGAAAAAAATCCATAATTTATGCTGTTTCATGTTTTAAACCCCATCAAAGAACTTTTAGATATGGATAGTTTTTAGTTCTTGAATTTATTATACACAGCGGCTCCAAAGTGACACTTTAAGTCACATTTAGTTTGATATTTTGTCATCCAGACTAACGCAATGACATTTGTGCATGTTTAAGTGTGGCTAAAGTGTCAAAACACTTTTTGGTGTATTAGCATAAATGTAAAAAAGCACAAAAGAAATGGAAACTTACATATTAAGAGGCTGCCAGGCGGGCCACTGGGCTTTGGTTTTGATAACTGTCATAACATCATCACCCTGAGAGAGAAAGATGGAGAAAAACAGACAGAAAAGGAGAATTTGAAGTTTTATTACATCCTATATATAGAACAACAACAGAGCCGAAACAAAACAGAAAGGATTTTGTGTTCTACTTTCTTCAATTTGTTTATCTTTCCAACGCTGCAAAAAGAAAAGTTTCTTTTCCAAGCTTTCTTTCTCTCCCCGAACTTCTAAAAAGCTTATATCCATGACAATACTTCACTTCTGATTGTGTGTTTAAGATTTCTGCAATTGCTTGGAGCATTGATCCATTTCTTTTTGTTGTTATGTGATACCTGAACCCAAGGGAAAAGACATCTCACTTTAACAATACTTTATTAAGACTTACGAGAAACGCCTACAATAAAACACATTAGTAAAGAACACTCAAAGAGTCGAATGATGAAAGTGAGAGAGTGACTGAGGCAAGAGAAAGATACAGAGATCGACAGCTGCAGAAAAAGCTAGAAAGACAAACCCTGTATGTATTCATCTAGGGACTTGTGTGGCTGCGATTGCAATGCAAGTGTAAAAGCTCAAAGAAGTGTCTGACTTTCAGTTCCAACATTCAGACAGGATCCTGAAGGTACCGCCACCGCTGACAGTTTCAGGCGCAATACTCCAGCAAAACAGAGCTTGTGCCACATTGTTCATTATAGGGCTTTTCCCACTGTGCTGAAAGGCAGGTTATCTTTATTCTAAACACAGCTCTTACCAAGAGTTTTACACATGGTTTAACCCCTCCAGTTCCACTTGAACCATTCAATGTGGATTGAAATAATGTCTCATGAAAGAAAGCAGGGACAAAAATAAGGATGCCAAAGACCACAACCTCTCATTTCAGTTGTTAAAGCACCTCTTGAGGCCAGTTGAGTAACTGTGCATTCACATCACTGCTTGCGAGAGCGTCAAATAGGAATGTACTGCATGAGAGGATTCCTGAGGATGCAGCCATGTAAACTTTAGTTCCCAAGGAAAAATGAGGTAGGGGTTGATTATTATTACAATGTGGGTTTCGCAGTTTGTAATGTAGGATGCGTTCACGTGAGGACAGGCGCAATAATAATATAATAGAACTGTGGAAATTATTCTAGCACTTAAACATGAACACAAAACCCTTACTACACAAACAGCTTTTAACTGGATTATTTCATTATAAAACATGTAAACATGTTCGACTGTCAAGAGTACCAATAGCAGGGTGGACAGAGCAAATTTTGACGGTCTTGTCGGAATCAATGTAGCCCTTCCAGTTGTACTTACACCAATTCAAGCAGGATTTAAACCAGCATCTCGGGGATGACTGTTTGGGTTTTCACAAGAATGTTAAAGTTGCTGCAAACACTAACATATTTCACTAGTATGCCTCTCGAGGCCAGAAGAGTGAGGCTTACTTCCACAGCTTTTACAAGCTAGCCTCTAATAAACTCACTTCCCATCCGGGTCACGGCACCAGATTAGCCCTTTTAGTTCTATTAACACAACTCCAAGCAGGATTCGAACCAGCATCTCTAGGATGAGGGGTTGGGCTCTTACATGAATGCTAATGGTGCTACACCTATTATCAAGTTTTACAAGTACACCTGTAGTACCACAATTACCCACAAAATCTTGCTCCCATCCCGTCACTGCACTTCCTTCCGGGGCATGGCACCAACATAGCCCTCCCAGTTCTACTTACACCGCTCCAAGTTGGATGCAAACCAACATCTCGGGGATGAGCGTTTTGGCTTTTACAAGAATGTTAAAGTTGCTACAAACACTAACATATTTTACTGCCTCGCATGGTTCAGGATTGGTAGAGCTACGCATCGATGAATTTGCTCTTCAGTGTTTGAACTCTCAGTAATGATTAAATCACACTGAACTGAGCTAAACTGAACTGAACTGAACTTAAACACTAAAACCTGAACCACACTGTTCCAGTTACTGAACCACACTGTTCCAGTTACTACGACCATTTATGTGAAGCTGATTTGACACAATCTACATTGTAAAAGCGCTATACAAATAAAGCTGAATTGAATTGAATTGAACTTGTATGCCTCTAGAGGCCAGAAAAGTGAGGCTTACTTCCATAGTTCTTACTAGCTGGCCTCCACTAAACGCACTTCCCATCTTGATCATGGCACCAACGTCGCCCTTCCAGTTGTACTAGGATGAGAGGTTGGGCTCTAACATAAATGCTAAAGATGTTACACCCAGTATCAACTTTCACGAGCACCCCTGTGGTAGAACCTTGCACCCATCTGAGTCATGGCACCAATACAACCCTTCTAGTTTTTTCCCCACTGCTCCAAGTGATATTTGGGCATGATGGAACTTGCATGTTTGGTTTGGGGGGCCAAAATGACAAAATCTGCTCCATGTTCCATTTCTGATGTGATCCAAATGTTTTCATCACTTCTGATAAACAAAACATGTCTTTAACTCTAATTAAACACACTTGCACCAGGTAATTAAGGTCTTAAGACAAACTTTAGAAACTTTTAGGCAAATGTGTGGAAGCTAAAGTGCAGGATATTGCCTTTCAAGAACCTATTGTAGATCCTATGGTGTAATGAGAGTAACAATGACTGCACACCCAGTGTAGGTACAATGTGACATGGACTACCCTAACACCACAATCGCTTTAGGGTCACGGCCCAAATGCAACCCCTCTAGTTTTACTTGATTTGTTCTGGAGGTAATTCAAACAAGCATCAATCACTGAATCATCTCAGCATTTTTAGATGACAAACTCACTTCAGCCATGTATCAAACGAGGGTTTGCTGTCTGCATGTTAATTTTTAATGGCTCACTTTCATTAATCCGATGTAAGCGTTGTTACATGGACAGCCTCTTGAGTCTGGGAACTTACCAGCTGGCCTTCATAACACAGCACTAAGTTACATTCCAGCACTCTATTACATAACGAGAGTTATGCAACTCTAATTTGTAGAGGGGTAAGAACTAATTTTTAAACTTTAACCCAAGATTACCCAAGAACAAGGATACCCACCCTTGGTCCCAGAGGGCCAATGTCCTGCAGAGTTTAGTTTCAACTTGCTTCAACACACCTGCCAGGAGTTTTGTAGTAGACCTAGTAAGAGCTTGATTAGCTAGTTAAGGTGTGTCTAATTGGGGTTGGTGCTAAAATCAGCAGGGCACCGACCCTCCAGGGCTGAGGTTGGGCACCCCTGCCCTAGAAAGTCAAATAGTAAATGGAAACAAGTCAACTGGAATGAAAAGTCATTTATTCATTTCATTTCATAACTCTTGGCTGTACTGGCTGTTGTGATCTTAGTTTGGTGACAGTTAAAAAAAATGACAGTACAGTCTGCAATATACTGTACGTGATTCAAGAATTTGAAACTCTGGGCTAGTGTGAAATATGATTTAGGGTAATATTTTAGTTTAAATAATGAGCTCTGTTCCCCCCATGGTTTCCCACATATAATGTGATAATGGGCTACTTTGCACCAGATACTGTTAAGCAAGTAGATTCAGGATTGCTCAGATCTGTCAAAAGGCAATGAATACTACATGGCTTTCAAAAAGTCTTTTGACACTTAACCTCAATCTACAGGCAGTAAACGGCCCGTCATTACAAATGTCCACACAAAAACTCTCCCATTCAGATCAGTGAAAGTGAGACCACTAAAATATTAACATGCAAATGGCAAATGCTCTTTTGATGCAGATCTGAGAGAGGAAAGTGTGTGAACACTCACGGTTTGCCGCCCAACATCAAACAGATGTACAAAGTGGGATTGTAGATGGTCTGCATGAATTACATTAACGCAAGGACAGCCAATACAAAGCAGCATAAAAATCAATATTCACTTATTCAGGGTTTATTGCTTGTTCCATGCAGATTTAGTTTGGAGGTTTAAAAACAGCCATCAGTTTAGGTCAAGAGCACTAAAAGTAAATTTGCTGCTACTGCATATATTCTTGGAAATAGCACATATGGGCCACATGGGTTAACAAAGATATATTGTTGTGCATTCAAGTTCTATATTTATCGACACACTAACTGGTTCAACAATAAGACCTGCTTTGCAACAGTTATTCAATAACAGCTGCAATGAAACCAAAAAGTTCTCACTCTCGTCACATCTTGACATTTAGTCAACCTCTAGGTCTTTCTTACTTTAAACACACTAGTCACCACTTCAGCATTCTGTATTCATGGATACTCCATGACTAGCAATTGCTTGTCTGCTGTGTCAGATCCAGATGCATTTCATTCTTTGCATCCATTCCTAAACCAAACTACTTCTATAAAGTATTTAACGTTCAAAGAAAGGTACAGTTACATGTATTTATTGCCAAAAAGTATAAAAGTATTACAAGCCACTTATGTTGTATTCCAAGTGTTCATATGATATCTTTATGTAAAGAACAAAGTGAAACCTAAGGCTCTGTTAACATGCAAGTGAGTGAACATCCCTGCCTTAGTCTCAAGGGGTGCACTATTGTCTGATGCAAGAGACTGAAGTCTTTATCAGCCTTGTGCTTTAGTGCTTCCACCTCCAAAGTCGAAAACATTGTTTTGAAGCGGTGCAAGCAGAGTTGAAGGTGTTAGATTAAGTCTTTAGTATCCTTGCACACTGTCCATGCCAAACATCTTAGTTTGAATCACACTTAGAGTGAGGGGAGTAAAAGCAGAAGAGTTACATTGGTGCCGTGATAGGATTGAGGTCATATCCGGGTCACGGCACCAATTTTAATTCTTCTTCTTCAACTCTTTGGTTTAAATTGGTGCCGTGACCCAGATCTGAGTGAGGTTTGAATATGTGTGTCTAACGGATGTTAGCTAATAGCAGCTGTGCAGGTAAAACTTAATCTCCTGACCTGAATGGACACATGACCTAAGGATGTGAGATCAGGGTGTCCTGCACTGCTTGTTGAGGGGTCCTGTCCAGCATATTTTAGCTCCTATTCTAATTAAACACACTTGAACCAGCTCATTGAGTTTTTACTATACTTTTTTTTTTACTATACTACACTA